AGCACGGTGGTGGCAGCATCATGATGTGAAGCATGGTGGTGGCACCATCATGACGTGAAGCATGGTGGTGGCACCATCATGATGTGAAGCATGGTGGTGGCAGCATCATGATGTGAAGCATGGTGGTGGCACCATCATGATGTGAAGCATGGTGGTGGCAGCATCATGATGTGAAGCACGGTGGTGGCAGCATCATGACGTGAAGCATGGTGGTGGCAGCATCATGATGTGAAGCACGGTGGTGGCAGCATCATGACGTGAAGCATGGTGGTGGCGGCATCATGATGTGAAGCATGGTGGTGGCGGCATCATGATGTGAAGCGACGGTAAAATGAATGCAGCAAAATATAGAAAAATCCTGGAGAATTGAGTCTTTGGAGAAGATTTGTTTTCCAGCAAGACAATGCAAACAGCCAAAGCTGCATAGAAATGGTTTGAAGACAACGAGGTGAATGTTGTGGATTGACCATGAGCCAGAGTCCAGACCTCAATCCAACTGAGAATTTGTGGCTGGACTTGACAAGGACTGTTCAGTTATGATTTCTGAGCCAGTTTGAGCAGCTTTTCAAAGAAAATTAGTGTGAAACTGGAGCATCCAGATGTTCAGGCTGACTAAGACCAACACAGGCTGAATGCTGTAACTGTAGAAATGTGCTTTTAGCTTGACTTAAGTCTTTTTTGTAAACTCTTGTGAAAAAAAGCCTCAATAAACTGACCATGGCTCATTGTTGAAAAGCAACAAAAGGGGGATAAATACTTATTGTAGCTCAGTAATTGCTCGTCCACCCTCCCTCGTACCTCCACCAAGACAGCCAACAGCAGAACGTTTGTGCTGCTCATCCCGCCCTCCTGAAACAGCTCTTGTAACCGCGGCGACAGCAGCAGCAGCCAGCAGTTGGACACGACGGAGACGAAACTCAGGACCTCGAAGGCAATCTGAAACACAAAGACGTGAACTGTTGGCTCTTAATGACACGCGGCGCGCCTCTCGTTAGCATCGTGTTTTCTGCTGACCTGCCAGACGCCCATGTTGGCCACCGGCGCCGAGAAGGGTTTGCGGAAGAGTTTGCAGATCTTGTAGGCGTCGGATCGGATCTCGGTGAGGTTGTTGAGGAGCAGCAGCACGGCGGTCAGAGGAAACACGCAGGAGAAGAGGCTCAGATAGCCGAACTGCACCAGGAGCTCGATGTACTCTGCAAACAGGCCCTGAAGAGGAAACAGGAAGCTGTCATACACCAACACAAATCATAGCACCTTATCACTGAGCTACAGCACAATAAGTGGTAAGTATTGATTGAGTTACACCAGGTATTGTTGCTGCCAACGTTCCCAACACAGTGTTGCTATGTGACACTTTGCTAAGAAGATAAGCAGACAGAGAAATCAAAAACAAGCATATACATCTGACACACGCACGATTCCTTATGGTACCGCTTTTTATAAAATTATTTGAAGCACTACAAGTTGGAAAACCAAGATTTCTCTTACAGCCCAGTAACAATATTATAGAACTCTTCCAGGTGGGACACTATTGGAGTGGTTTCACCATCATACCTTCCCAGTGATTGTTCAAATATTGGCCATTCATGCAAAGAACACCATAGTCTACATTCAAAGCTCCTGTAAATAAATAAAACAGCCTCTTACAGTGAAAAATAAAGGTTTTATAGTTGGTGATATACTGGATTAGAAAGAAATGTGGACATTTTGGGACCAAATTTGCACCATCATACAACTGGTGTGTATTATTCTATCAAGGCAGGATTGAACCATTAAAGACCACATGTACATATCAGTGAGTCTGCAAAATCTCAGGACTCTAGCTGCAATATTTCGTACGTTATAGCATTTCTAACATTGCTCCACAGCATGATGCTGCCACCACCATGCCCCCCAAAAATGGACACGACCCCACCTCCTTTAAGGACTATGCACTGAAAAGCTAATGCTAGCTATGAGCCCGGATTTTACACGATACACTTAATAACGTATGCACAGAAGAAAAATGTGACAATTGAGGTGAAATGATTAAACCAGATTCAACTTTACTGTCATTGCATATGTCACAAGTACAAGGCAATGAAATGCAGATCGCATCTAACCGAGACGTATGCACGTACACTCTTATGCATAAACACACACATATGAACATTTTGTATTTTTAAGAAATAGAAAGTGTTTGCCCATTTCACTGTGACAAATAAAAACTTTTAAAGTTTGACTCTTGAATGTTAATTAAACTTGGTTTTGGAGTGTATTTATCCTGAATACTCACAGGAAAAGCAGGCAGGGTGCTCTGGTTCCTGAACTTTTCCTCCTGTGGGTCGTCTTCACTCTCGGCCCTGTGGGGGGCGCTGATGAACCGGTCCACCAGGAACGGAATGACCACCTCCGTCACCTGGTTTATCAGCTGGGTCACGATCAGCAGAGACGCCAAACGCTTCACACAGACAGAGACGGAAAATAAACGCCTGTTTTTTGCATTACTCAGGAGCCTTTTTCAAATTTGCACTCATTCCAAATTACAGGAGGATTTCTTAACAGGTAAATGTAGGAAAGTTTTTTTTTGATTAAAAATATGTAACACAAAAAGAATGACTTTTATAAAAGAAAAGTTTGACACCAAGATGTTAACCAAATATGGGTTATTGGTTGATTACCAATAATTAGCATCAGTGGACCTCTAACACCTGACGACAACCTGACAACATCCCTACAAGTTGTTTTGAGTGAATTTATTGAAATAAATCTACTAAACTGACGCATGAAACTGCTGTAAAATCCTTCCTTCTAGAAACAACAGAAGCAAAGGACAAAAAAGACTTTCCTTGACTTCCTTAAACGAGCATTAAAACAGCCAGAAGTTCAAGTTATAGATGTTTAAACTGTATACATCATAGTAGTTGTTTAATGAGGTGCAGCAGACCATGGAACACCAATGGTCTGCTTGAACCACATCATTGTTCTATTGGAGACAAATGGTAAATCTTTGGAGTGTCCCCTTAAAGACACTTCCTCCTCTGAGACGAGACGTTACCTTACGAAGCAGAGGCACGTCCTGCTTGAAGAAGGCAATGTGGAAGAGCACCGCGAAGTAGTTGAAGAAGGTGAACTGAAGGACGAGAGAAGAAGAAGAAGAAGCTGGTGAAACAGGTTGTTTGTAAGTTAGGATGAGCTTCAAGAAGAGAGAAGAGGAACTAACCACCAAGACTTTGGCTGTCAGATGGTTCTGGAAGGCCGACTCCTCTCTGTGGTTCTCTACGAGGACGCAACAAGAGTTAATTGGATTATTGAACTTCCAAAAGCTCTGTGAGCGTCATTAAACCCCTGTGAAGTATCACCGAAATGTCAATTGATTCAAAACTGTACCACCTCTCAATAATTCAGTCACTTGGGACATTCACACATGTGTAAAATTACAAACTGGAGACTGTAGAAATACAGGAACCACAGTAGAGACTGGATGCAACAAAAGTCAGTACAGAACACATTTTACACATTTGTTCATATTTAGAAACTCAGAGTCATCTTGTCAATCAGTCTGCGTCATCAGCTCCATCCCACTCACCATATTCAGTCAGAGACTGTGCCACCGTCTTGTAGACAGTCGCGAGTACGTTTGTGTAGACGATGTGAAGCACTGAGGGCATGAAGAGCAAAGTCTGAGTCAGCAGGGACTCCCAGTCTTTGTGCAGCTGCTGAACTTGGGCTTCTGCCCAGTAGAAACACAGCATGCCCAGTACCACCAGTCCTGCAGGAGGAAGCAGAGCTCTTTATTCTTTGTTTGCTGCTAAAGCAACAAATCGATGCTGTTTTATGTGTGTTTTTATTAGAATCCTACCTAGAAACAGGCCGACCACGGGGACGGACACCAGCGCCATGCGGAGGTCCCGCTGCCATTCGGGGAACAGCGGCTCCACCCGACCCGTCACAGGGTTGACCCCGAGGTCACCGTGGAAACCGGGCCGGGGCTCGGCGAAGCGCTCGGCGAGGTGCAGCGTCCCCCAGCGGTACGACAGCGAGGAGCTCCGGCGCTTCCACAGCTCCATCACCACCGTGGACCAGAGCATGCTGAAGACGGCCTGCAGCATGTGGCCGCTGACCGCCGGCTCCGGGTCGCCTTCGATGGCCGTCGCCTGGGAGCCCGACACCGACTCCACCATCTCCTTCTGAACCTCACCTGTGATGGGCAGGAAGAACTTAGAGATCCATCACCAGGGTGCCAGAATAGATCCCACCGGTAGCGACCGGAACACCACCGACTGTGCTGTCATTAGATCTGAGCATCCTCTGAGGGATCCATAATCAGCACTGGATCTCATTTTTTTCTTTTAATCATTTATTCAATAATAAAAGGCACTAAGGAGTAGGCAAAGCTAGAAGAAGTGGAGGATAAGCTATCTTCTGGTGCTGGTTGGTTTAACTATCCCTGTGCTGCCAACACCCACACCTCTGACATGACACATCTGCTGTCAGGTATTGTCTCACGTTGCCACACAGCCAAAATAAATCTCCAGGTAAATCACTAAATCAGAGTTTCTGTCCACACCCAGGACAAAGTCTGAACATGAGGCTTTTTCTACCATCAGTGCCCCAAACACAGCCGTTAGTTGTCATCTTTCACCTAAGTTTAGTCTCTTTTATTTCGCTCTACCACTTGATATCTATCAGAAACTCAGTCGAAACTCTCTCTGTAACAGGTTGGATCAATGGGACTCACTAATAATAATGTAATCCAGATTTGGACCAACAGCAGCTGAAGTTAAGTTTGTGGCTTCCAGCTGTTGAGGACTGTTTCCTCTGAGTTTGTTATAGAATTAATAAGAGTGTCTGCTGTAGTTAGATGAGTTATTATCAGGCTGAACATGGACAGAGTTTAGTAGATTTGCTCTAATTATTATGATTTTTTTCCAGTTTATTATATTTCCATTTCTCTCCAGCTAAAACAGGCAACTCTGGTCTCACTGAGCGGTACCACTGGTCTAACTGTAAATGCAAAATCATAAATACAAACACCCTCAGGCATCAACCCTGATGGTCATAAGGTAGTCATGTGGTGAATGAGACAATAAATGAACAATCTAAAGGCAGAATGTTGGTTTTGAAACATATTGGATATGAATGGAAAAATAAAGAATGAATCCACACACCTACCTGAGAAGTAGGTGATGGTCAAACCCAGTAGCGCCGGTGGGAGCAGAGACCAGGTGTAGAAATCAAGGAAGCTGAAGTAGAACGCCACAGAGCTTCCAAAGTACTCATTGACTGAATCTGGATGACAGAGCAAACAAGAACGAGATTTAAAGACTATTTTGAAGCCTCTGCACGTCCAACCAGGTGAGCTAGCTGCAGTCTCAGCTCCTCACAACAGATAAATGCATTGAAAACTAGCATTGCGACCGACATAAGCATCTTTTTCTACATGCATGTGTGTGTTTTTGTTTCCACCGACCCAGCGGCTGAGCCAGCTGATTTCCAGAGTACCAGGCTTCGCTCAGGTTCTTCAGTTTGTCCGGCTCGTGGAGAGGAAACGTGTCCACAATCACCCCGGCTGAGCTGAGCTTCTGCCCTGCAACAACAACAACAACAACAACAACAACAACAGTAGCCAGTGTTATTGAAGCAGCACTTAATCCCAGACCGGCTGAGCCATAAGTGATCGATACACAGCGACTGAGGCTGATGCTGAGTCAAGAACATTCATGAGAGGAACAGCTGAGCTCAGCAGGACGGCTGGACGATGAGGTGGGGACGGAAACTAAAACGACGCAGCCGTGAACCACAATGTTGAATTATTTTTAGTCAGTTCCTCAAATTGCTGCTGTAAATGTTCACTAGAAAACCAAACGTGTATCAATCCGCTGCTGAAAGTAGTTCAGAACAAATGCAATATTCACCCCAACTGGAGCTGTTTTGTTCCAAAAACGTTCTGAGAAAGTTCTATATTTTCAGTGGAAAGTTCTCCTCTCTGTCTATGTTCTCTCAGAACATTCCATCTATGCTGACATATCGCCAAACGTCCTGTCATCTGACGCCTCAAAAACATCTTGAAAACGTTTTCTGAATGTTGCATTAAGAACGTCTTTTCTTTGTGGAAGCATCTCTTTGCAGAACGTTTTATAATGTGTTCCCCCAACAAGGAACGTTGTTTGAATGTTGGGTTGAGAACGTTCCACCTTTGTTCATTTATCCATAACTGGAGCATTTTGTGAAAAATCACCTGTAGCCTCGAGAACATCAGGAGAACATTTTTTGAACGTTCTTCCTTTGTTATTGTGGAACATTCTGAAACATCATAGAGTCTATAATGTGTTCTCTCTACTATGAAGCCCCAGACATGATCTAGTCAAAATGAAATTAAATCGTTGCCACAATATAGCAATAACGTGCACATGAAGTAGTATTTTGTGTGCATGAAATACTAATTCATTCCCACGTTGCAGCTATATTGTGGCCACAAAATAAATGTAACGTGTGGATGAAATACTAATTTGTGGCCATTAGGTAGGTATAATGTGTGCATGAAATATTAATATCATTCCTGGACAACTGGGTAAGCAAATCGAGCACACCTTCTCAGCAATAAGCTACCCTACACCATCCCCAAAACATGTGTAAAAAACATTTTAAACTTCAGATCTATTTAGAATGTCTAAATAGCCGATGTCGCCTTAATAAATGTGAATAAAAAATGCACATAAAACATGGTCTGTACAGGGTGCCCCGGGAACTCAATGGGATGAGGCGGCGAAAATAATTTTAAAAAGGAAAACACGGCCTTTCACAGTTTCTGGATTCCCTAAAACCACCATCTTCCTTGATTTGACCCACACTGGTGGATCTAAAGTCCATCTCAGTGGATGTACGGGTCACATTTGACCCCAAACAGCCTCAGTGGTCAAATATTTGTAGCACCTGTACAAAAGTCTAAAATCTTAAAATAGTTGAATTTTTGTGTATTTTGGGTCACTCAGGCTAAAAGACGTTTTGGGTCTTTTTACTGTCGTCAAATGTCAAAATGGGTCAAATTTGACTGAGAGCAGAATGTAAAACCACCTGTATGCTGTAGTTTAGGTTCTCTCTGTGCTTCTAAAACAGCCCCAGACTGTCGAGGTCCAAAGAACAGAAGGTCTCTTAAATAATTTGGCCGTTTTGTGAGCAGCATAGAAAAAACAACATCTGTAATTTTGTTAAGACAATCGTGTGACGTATGATGATAATAAAACTGAATCTGAACTCTTGAATAAGAAATTAACATCTATGAACCCTTCACACAGCTGGGCGGTGATACTGATAAACTAAACAAAGAGTTCTTCTCACAGACAGGGCGGGGAAGCTGTAAAACACTGAAACACAAACCAACTCACTGGTAGCCTTTGGTATCAGGATAACGAGTTTATCTGTTTAACTACAAGACCTCAGCTGGCACGACAAAACCAGAACCATCAAGAACCTTGAGCTTATTATCTGTCACCCATAGTCTCAAAATCTACTTTTAGGTCACATATCAGCAGTAATATCATGTCAGCGTCCTATAAAAGCTACAGAACGTCTAAATCATGGCTTAAAAACCAAACGTGTATTAATTCGCAGCTGAAAATCGTCTCTAATGAATGAAAAATATGCGTCATGTTTGCAGGTAACTACAGTGTTCAGCTGTTCTGTGAAGTATTGAACATGAAGCTTTGTTTTTTAAAGATCTACTCACAGAGCACAGAAACAGACGAGTACAGTGTTGGTTTGGTCTTTTCGTGGGATTTGTTGACGATAACTAAAATCTACAACAACACCAGCCTTTTATTCCTTTAAGTGGTGACCTTCAGCTGCTGCGTCCGCTTTTGTCTCGAGGCTTTTAAATCCAAGTGAACACTGTCGGTTTGTCTTCATGTTGCTCCAGAACTGACTGATTCACCAACACGTGTTCATGTTTCTGTCTCTGAACTTATCTGTCTGTGAACGCGGTGGTTTTCGGACTCACAGATGTTGTCTCGGTTGTGCAGAGTGCTGCTGTCGGGGAGGCCCGGAATCCTCAGATCCCTCTGAGCCCGAAGGCCGTCCAGCTCGTACTTCACCATGTACTGCCGCTCGGCCAGCGTCAGAAACTTCTCCATGTTGTCTGTCATTAACACACACAGGAATAATGTTTTTATTTGTTCAGCAGAAAAACTGTTAGAATATGGAGATTAAAAATGAAACAGTCAATAGCAGACACTATACACAGGCTAGATTTAGGTATTGTATTTTCTAATAGCTTTTCTGCAATCAAACATTTTTATGTCTAATATACAATATGTGTAATTTTGTGGGGAGAGTATTTTACAAGAGCTT